ATTAAAAGCAAAGGACTTGCAAATATCATTCTAATTCAACAATATAAACATTGAGAAAAAAAATGAAGAATTAAGAATTGCAGAAGTACTAAAAAACAAACTTATTCTTTAGACAGCTCTAGTGCTAAAAAGACTTAACATAACTTCAATAAATCAGCTTATTAACAAAGCAGAAGACAAAATGATCTTCTGGCATCAACTTAAATTATTAAGAAGAGAATTAAGCAAAGGTAGAACAGCCAGCTAGTTTAAAAAAATTGAAGAAATGATATTAGAAGACAAGAATAATAGACAATTAAAACCTAAATATGTATTACCAAATAGAAACAGAAAAGCACTTCAAACATCACTTGATAGTTGCTCAAAAGACAACAGAAAAAGAGAATAGATAATACTAAAATTATTAAAAAAAAAAGAAGACAATAACTTGTTAATAAGAAAACTAGTTACAAACACACTAAAAAAAGTACTTACAGAATACTAGGAGATCAAATTAGTCAAAAACAAAACAAACCAAGTTCTTAAAAAATATGAAGAATGTAGTCTTAATCATATAGAAGAACTAAAAAGTTGTAAAAAATAGAGTTACAGAGAAGAAGTTCAAGGTTCACTATCAAGATTTATCAAAAAAGGTGAAGACCTACTACTTATAATAGACAAAGAAATGATACTTAGCCAGTAACAAGAAAGCAGAACTAAAATAAATGAGTTAGAAGAACAGCTCAAAGATGTAATATGTTATGATTTGAATACAGAACTAATCAAAAAACAGTGACTAAGCAAAGAGATAAAAGAACATCTTATTTTCAAAAACCAAAAAAACCAAGTAAATTCAGATAAAGAACTTATCTTCTATACAGATAGTTCACTCAAGAAAGTAGCAACAAACAATGCTTCAGATATTGACTATATGGGAGCAGGATACAAGTTGATGCAGAAGAAGAAAAAGTAATTGATGAAGATGCTATAGGTGCCTAAAATTGGCTCTTATCAACAAAATCAGAACTACTAGTGATTTGGTTAATAATCTTAATAGCACCAAAAAAAAGAAGAATTAAGATCTATACAGATAGTGCAGCATCAATATCAGGTCTTAAAAAAGGAAAAAAGCTAATAAAGTGCAGACAATAAATCAAAAAAAGAACTATGATTTGAAAAAAATATAATAGAGTTACTCAAATTAAAAAAAATAGAGTTAGAATTAGTTAAAGTTAAGAGACATAGTGATAACAAATGGAATACTAAAGTAGATAAAATAGCAAAAGAAGGAAGTAGTATAGAAAATAGAGATAAGATTATAGTAATACTATCACCTAATTCAAATATATCACTCTGTTAGAAAGAAACAATTGTAGAAAGGCCAACAAAACAATTTGTTAAAGACATCTTAAATTTTAAGATTGGCTCAAAATGATAATTTACATCAACTGTCCAAAAATTAGAACTAAATAAAAAAAAAGAAGAGCACAACTGATCACTACTATGAAAAAAAGTTAGAAGTCAAAGTAGAGTCAGATGTACAAGTATGAAAAAGAATAGAAAAATTATAACTCTAATTAAATATATTAATAAAAAACTATCAGTACTAAAAATTTTAGTGAAAAAATATCCAAATACAGTATATACAAAACATTATATTGCATTCTATGTAATGAAGACTAAGAATAAAACCAAGAACACTTAGCTATATGTAAAGATCATGAAAAAGGTTAAACTATTACAGAAAACTTAGCTATTAATTTGGCCTGATCAGTGCTCTCAGAAGAAACTCAGAAGAAAACAAGCAAATCAGAACTAACAGAAATCTTATAAGAAAACTTAGCAGAAGAGAAAAAAGAATATAGATCCAAAAACATGAAAAGGCTAATCTAAGAAAAAGCCAAAATAACAATACAAAGCCTAATCCAAACCTTCAAAGAAACTAAAGAGTTTATAACAATATAGACAAATATAGCATGAAATGGTTTTTTTGGAAATATATGAAAAAAATGCTATAAAGCAGTTACTAACTAGGAAAAGACAAATGGAATTAGCTCTGCAGACAAAAAAAAGAAAGAAAGCATTTTAAGAAGTGATACAATAAGAAATCTGATAAAAAAAGTAAACAAAAGAGTTTTAGAAAAGGATCAAGACTGAGCTATAAAAAAAAAGAAAAAAAAAAAAAAAAAAAAAATACAAAGTTCTTAATTAGGTTTAGTCAGAAATTATATAAAAAGAAAGATAAGATCATTCTTTTATAGTTTTAATAGCTAGCTTGGTATAGCCTTCTGGCCAGATTAATATCTGATTAGTGCAGCAGACCACTTCTGAGCATTTATAAAAACAGCCAGAGAATGTTGAGCCAAAATTTAAGCCAACTTTGTACAAAATTATATATATAAGACTCTTAATAAAGATGATCAGCAAAGCTGTCAAAGATTTAAAAAAAAATTTAAACTTGTTTATTAGGTTTTTTTAGTTCTAATAGTAATAAATCATTAAGATTAGACTAATAGTTCTTAAAATATTTATATCTAAATTTTATAATTTTTAACTTATTTTTAAAAAAAAATTACTAGTTTGATTTTAATAATTTTATTACTATTGGACCAAAAAGATCTAATAAAAAACTTTAATTAATATTAAAAAAAAAGGTTTATTTAACAATAATAGTTCTTTTAAAGCACTTTTATACTGTATATTTTAAAAAATATTATTAGCAAAAATAAAAAATAAAAAATAACAATATTTTATATTTTTAGTAATTTAGTATTTTTTTATAAATTTTTTTAAACTTTTAATTTAAATAATATAAAAAGTTTATAATTTGGTTTATAATTTAACTTCTTTTTTTTTTTTTTTTACTTGTAAAGACCATACTTTATAGCAAACCTTTATTGACTTTATTAGAGTTAGTTTACACTATTTTTTACAAAGAAGAAAGTACAACTAGTTATATATGCAACTTTTGGTTACCTATTTAAGTAGTTTATTCTAAAGTTCTATACTAGATGTCATACCTATAATCTACTAAAAGATTATCTATTTTAAACTCTTTGATTATCTGCTTCATGTTAGTGAATACTACTATACTCCTTGTATATATCTAGTATATTATTTGAGCAATATAGTATTTATTCTTTTTGTATTAGTTCTTAGGCCATTATACATTTCAGAGTACATCATCTGCTAGTAAGATGCAAAAAGCTTCTCTTGTTAGCTACTTTTATAGAGTTTATTCAGACCTCAGTACTGACTTTACAGCATATTCTTAGTACTTATAGTATACCTTTGCTTTGTTCTCAGACTTCTAATTCAAATAGCTTAATAGAACTATAATCTGTTCTTGATATATTGAATCTGGCCTAATATTCTTTTCTTCTAATCTGAAATCTGATAGTCTGGTTGGTGATACTTCTTATCTAAGATTATTGCCTGCCTAATTTCTTTATATTAGTATCTGTTTTCTATATTTAGCCTTTACAGTAGTATTATCAAAAATCTATATTACTTCTTTATTCAGAATTTTCAAGTAAGCTTCAGTTTTTTCCAGTTCTACAAATTTACACAAATACAAGAATTATTTTAGATTTGCACTACCCAGTACTGGTTTGCATTTTTCTGTATAACCAAGATTATACAGATGCCTATGATTTGCCAGTCATGCTAGTATGATTATAGTTACAGATATCTTATCTCAACTAATCGACAGAATACTGTTACTATAATATTACCTATATATTATATAGGTGATTTTTCAAATTTTTGATGTCAATAGGTTTTAAACTTACAACCTACTACTTGGAAGGTTAACAACTTATCCACTTTACTAAGTTACCACACTCTAATTTAACTTTAATATATACAATTAGTATATATACTTTTTTTAGTAATTATAAAATTTAACAATTTAATTAATATATTTTGATCTAAATATTTGTTAATTAGTTTATTTGTTTTATATAATTTGTTTTTTAAATCTAGTTTTTACAATACTATTATTAAAATTTTGTATTATTTCTTTATGCAAAATTTGCAAACAGGTTTTTATCTTTTTAGTTTTTTGAATTTTTGTATATCTTAAATTTATATTAATTTTAATATTAGTTTGTATTTTTTTTATATATTATATAATATTATACAAATACTTTTAGTCTTGCTAATATAATTAAGATTATAAATATTTTAACTTGACTAATTAACAAAAAAACAATATATGAATATAAATAAATTTGTTTAAAATATTACTAGTAAGATTTGAACTCTTAATTTGCTACTTGAAGAATAACAACCTACCAACTATACTAAGTTATTATTATATTTAACTCTTTGCATATTTTTATACATCTTTGTATAATTATATATAAATATAGTCAATTCTCTCTATAGTTATGTAGTTGAGATAATAGTAAATTTTTTAAAAAAGTGCTTATAAAGAGATTGTGCTTATACAGAGGTTTTTTTTATACTTTTACAATAATTTGTTTAACAAAATTAGGTGCTTATTTAGAGGTATAATTATATAAGGTGTGACTATATAGAGGTCTGACTGTATGTATAAAATAGATACGTACATATAATTATATAAATTATATACAATTATACAAAGAATGCATAAAAATATAAAAGAAAAGTTTGGGTTTAAAAAATCTATATTTATGTAATAAGTGCCATTTTTCTTATTAAACTAGTCATTTTGATGAAAAATAAACCAGTAAATTAAAAGTTATTTAATATTAAAAATTGTTCCAATCAAATTTTGTTTTTTTTATACATAATCGTAAGTAACCATATCTTTTAAATAAGTAGAATTAAGCAATTTCGATTCTTCTTAATAAGATAAATCTAATAATACTAAATTATTTAATTCGATCATATTTTATTAACTATAATATAAAGTTGTTCAAAAACCCTTATATGCTAAAATATCAATTATATAGATACTAATAAATACACAATAATTGTCACAGAACTAAGATTTTAATTTAATCTTTGTATTTAATAAAACAAGAGACATCCACCTTTTTATCATTTTTTACCGATGCATCTTTTAATATCTTTTCAAACTTAAACCCAGATTTTTTTAATATACGTTCACTTTTAACATTTCCAACAAAAACCATTGCGTATAAATGACTTAATCCTAAACCACTAAAGACGATTTCATCACAAACAAATTTCAAGGCAGAACTAGTAATGCCAAGATTTCTATAATTTGGGGAAATATAATAGCCAATTTCATAACTGCTCTCAGAGAGATAAAAATCAGAAGATATATTGTAGGAAGATTCACCAAGTAGAAGCAATCCAATGCACCCAATAAATTCCTTTTGATCGTTACGGATTGCCCATGTTGTACAAGTGTGGGTCTCAGAATACAAACTGAGGCATTTCGATACAAAAAATTCAGCATCGGAAAGAGAGTAAGGGTTAGGAATCAACCTTGACCATTTATGAATGTCCGCAGATAATATATTTGTTGGACAAAGAATGGAATAAATGTTAGGAGCATCACATTCCTGTATTGCTGATAAGTAAAATCGATCTTCAGTAGAGGAAATAGGAAGATTAAAAGGGCCTGCAAACCTAATTGACGATGATACTTCCATGCTTGAGGCACGATTTATCACTATCGTTGCCGTTGTCTATTTACAGCTAATTGAACCAATAAAAATAGTATTTCTAGAAAAAGTGAAAATCCATTATTTTTTAAAACATGGACTATAGTTTCCGAAATTTCAGTATTCGGTGTTCCAAACATTAAAACTTCATTGTCTCACCAAATCCTTAATTGGTAGGAACCAGTCTACCAGCCTCGGGGGCCGTAAAAATGCACATCTCAGTCCAACAAATTTGTGTCGGAAAGAACATTCTTTTTTCAACTTTCGAGTCAATAAATCGTCACGCAACGGGTCTACCAATGAGCACACTACAATACTCTTCTTCACCGTCTTCACCTACAGTTAATCCACCGCAATCGCAGTTATACTCTCAGTCGTTAATGTCCCTGCAGCCGCCATCTTCACAACCGGTAAAGATGAGCAGTAATACATTCGTTCACAAGCTTTACAAGTATGTTATTTTCAAAACATTTTGCAGCGATTGGGGAGGTTAGATATTGTATGTGTCTTGAATGTGTGCTACTGCTGAAAAACTACCTTCTAAATCTATTTTACTTTAAACGCCCTGTTTTCGATCCTGTAAACGCATTTTGATCACTAGCATGGTTGTTGACAAGCAATACCAACATCTTATCGCTTGGAATTACACTGGGTCATCTTTCATAGTATGCAATATCATGGAGTTTTCACGTGATGTCTTGCCGAAGCATTTCAAGCATAACAATTTTTCAAGCTTCGTTCGTCAACTAAACATGTAAGCTTTGTTTTATTCAAATGTTAACACTTGTCCTGCTCCATTCGCTTTTGCCTTTTATTATTAATGCAATGGACCTGAATGAATCTACATAAGAATATACAATGGGTTGACACCTTTATTATGTGACTTGGCGGCTTAGGTACGGCTTTCATAAAGTTAATAAATCACCTCGGGGACATCGTACATTGGCTGAAAATCAAATATGGGAATTTTCTCATCCAAAGTTTTTACGCGGACGTCCTGATTTGTTGGATGATATTAAAAGAAAAGCTATGGAATCAGAAACTTTGCGACGAGAAACTGGGGACTTACATGCCCATCTTGCCATGATGCAAGTTACGCAAAACGAGTTATTGCAACAGATTAGGCAGTTGCAAGAAAACTTTGTGGAGGTAATGAGAGATCTAACAGAAACAAAAAAAAGACAGAACCTTCAACAAGTTTGGATGAAGGGTATGTGGGAATTTTTGCAAAGCCAAGGATCACATAGTAAGTACAATGAATGTACATCTTTTTTCGTAGATTAATTTTAAAAAATACATAATAATTATATTTAATATTTCTTAGTTCCATTTGAATTGAATTTAGATAATTTCGAAATTAAACCAGAACCTGAACGTCCTCCAATATACATTACTTCACCAGAAAATCATAACATAAATTATCTGATCAATATGTCAACTCATAATAATATTTCATCGCGTCCATCTTCACCATTGACAGTAAACACCAGTATAACCAGTCATGGAAGTTCATCTAGTCAAGCTAGCTCACATGGTCAAAGTCCAAATTTGAACATTCAACTTCCAGGGAGTCCTTTTCTCAATAACTCTATATTGACTGGTCAAATACCTCCCCTTTCTCCTAATTCATATAGTGCTTATAATGCGGCAGTAAATACCCCCTTACCTCCTAGTCCATCACCAGATTCGCCGATGGGACATCCTTCTGACGACGATATGGATGGCTCGATGTACGGTGCAAGTCCTAGCCATATAGAAGATTTTGGGGAAGAAATGTTTACATCGATGTAGAGATTACCCGTATAGGGGCAACCCGTATAAGATCTATCAACCGGGTCATGACCATTGCTACTCGGGTGATACGGATTATAAAACATAATTTACATTATAAACATCACCTGTTTTAAAATAAGAATATTTTTTTAATTAATTCTATTTAGTCCATGAGTATAAGGTTGTGAGGATAAAGAACTGGATCTCTTGCAGTATAGGTGACCCCTTTGATAAAATGAATTATTAATAAATCGATTATAAAGCGGAACCACCTATATTGCAAAAGATCCAAAGAACATTTATTAATCTAAGTATTTAAAATAACTATTCGAGTTTATGAATATTTAGTATTTAATTTCATTTTGTTCGCATTAATTTAGCATGTAAGTATAAAGTGCATTTGTCGATTCGCCATTTATTTTATTAAACACTGTTTTATTACTTCCGTTTCACCCCTCGTGTATTATATATACTCTATTTATATTCGTTATTTTTGTTAACATTAATGGTTATTTCTTTTGGACATTTCCCATTTTGGAATTACTTGTTTTGTTATTGCCTATTCAAATAATTATTCAAATGTTTTTGTAAACATCGCTACCATGAATAATCAACATTTTCACATAATTTCATGTGTGCCTTATTCTTTATTACTACATGTGATGCATAAGTGTCTTTAGTACGTATACCGTAATTACTAAGTTTTTTTTTCCCTAGAACTTTTAGATGTACTATCTATTAAATTTCCTGGATAACTTAGTGTCCCATCGACTATTAGGGTTGGAGATAAGATTAGTGTTTATATCCGTACAGAATACTTTTAACTAGTGCACAAATGATTGTTCGCTTCGCTTTTAATTTTTACATTATGCCTAATCTTAAATTTGATTTAATGATCTGCTGAATTTTGATCAAATATTTGAAAACGTCTAATACGCTAACATTAGGTTATTTTTCTTAAAGTAGATTTTATATGGTCCGGGCGAATGCAAGTAATTTACCTAAAATAGAAAGCATACCAATCCAGAAATAGGATATAGTTAATATCTGTGTAAAAAACACACGAAGTACAAATATAAGTACATGTATGTCTTAAATAAGAATTATCAATTAGAAAGCATTGTTAATTCAAGTTAAACATGATATAACGATAAATTTTCAAATTTACAAGTATTTAAAATCTAGTCACTACAAAATTATATGTGATGTATACAGTATCTACAGTGTCGCTACTAGTTATCGATCTTAATCGTTGTTCAATAAAAAAAATATATTCAAGCTAAATGATTCTTTTTAGCATTACAGTATTATCGTTATTGAAAAAAATTATTATTTTGCGTAAAATTGGATTTACTCCTTTTGCAAAATGGTTAATCCGAACATACTTTTTACCGTTACCATTGTATAATGCACAAAATTATAGGTTCATACAATTATATTGTAACGATAAACAATAGACGATCTGATAAACATAAAATAAACTGATTATCAAATAATAGCTATGAACTATTGCAAGTAAGGTTAACGTCAGTTACGTATTACCTGATTGTGTTAATGCAGGAGTTCATATTAAAGTGAGGGTAATAAATATTAAGGTGATATTTGATTTTATTTATAACCTTGCAATTAAAAAAAGGCTTAAAAAAGTCAATAGATTTTTATACTCTATACTATATAGCTACTTTAATTTATCTTATTTATATTATACTATTTGAAAAATTATAAAAATTTATTTATAAAAATCCTACTATTATATTTTTATTTATTTATTTATTTTTTTTATTTTTTATTTTTTATTTTTTTTAACTTAAGCAGTCACGCTAGTATTTTATTAAAATTCTTGAAACTATATAAATTACAGAGAATTTTTCTAATACTTAAGTCCAGCATCACCTGGTCACCTTATTGGTACCTAAGTGTGATCTGTTACACTACCCCAAACAGAGGTAGACTGCTTATTTGACTGCTGCCCTACAATAAGATATTATCAATCTGATGACATCTTTTTGTAGAGAAGCAAAAAAACAAAAAAGGATTTTATATATAAAAAAAAACAAAGGTATAGGAGTAAATAATAAAAAATACAAAACAAGAAATAAAGAGAGAAAGAAGATAAATAAGAAAAAAAAAAAGTGTAAAACTTATAATTCATAAAAAAATCAAATGATCATGATTTTAAGCTTGTGTCAGACATAGAGAGTGTGGCATAACAAAAAAATTTGGCATGTCATATAGTATGTCATTAGTCAAAATTTAAGTCATGCCATATTATAGGCATGCCATTGACATGTTATAATATAATTAAACTTTTTTTGAAATATTTTAAAAATTTGTTTCGAATTTTCTCTTATAATTTTATGTTGTTTGATTTTTTATACAAAATATTCAAATATTAATTTAACTAGAACAAAACATATTATATAAGTGACATGCCTATAGACTATCTTAGTTTTGGGCATGTCCTATGGCATGTCACTATTGACATGCCCCATTAGCATGTCAATGTTCACTGTGTTACACATCTTAGTTAGACATAAAACTTGCAATTTACAGATATCAGATAATCATAATTATTTTTTTTGTAATATTAATGGTGAGGCCATGCCTCTATCTTTATTGAATATTTAACTGAGATTTTTATATAAAGTTTAAATCTACT